AGTTCCGGCGCCAGGAGGTCCTTCGCTGGCTCCAGATGTTTCGCCAGAAACAGCCCAAGTCCGAGCCGCTCATTGCGAACCTCGTCCACGACAGCGGCGGAGACATCCCCGCCTTGAGCGTGGAAATGATGCGTGACTGCCTGCAGGAGTACTGGGAGCATGTTTCCCCCCGGCTTCCCATCCTTCACCAGCCAACCTTTTCATGCAACCGGTCGTCCATCTTCCTCCTCATGGTCATGGTCTCCCTCGGTGCCGCGTCGCTGCGCACCAGAGACTCGACCGGGAACCTCGCCGACTACGGTGGCTTTGCCGACGTCCTCATCATGGGCACCAGGTCCGAGATCCTGACCGCCGAGGAGGCACAGCCGCCCGTCTCGCTGTGGGTTCTGCAGGCCCTGCTGCTGCTGGAGTTCTACGAAAAGATGTGCTCGTCGCGACGGCTCCATGAACGGGCCCACATCTACCACTCGGTCACGCTCACTCTTCTCCGGCGCGGCAGTCCGCTGATTGGCCGCGCTGGAAGCGAATCCCCCCCCGAGGTGCACCCGCAAGGCGCCGGCCTCGACTCTCACACATGGTGGTGCCGTTGGGCCGAGACCGAAGCCATGCACCGCGTGGTGTTTGCGGCCTTTATGATGGACGTCGTCCATGCCGCCATGTTCGGACATGCAGCCGACATGGCCCCGCACGAGATCCGACTGCCGCTGCCCTGCGACGACAACCTGTGGACGGCCTCGAACCCGGACATTGTGCGGCAGCTCGACCAGAACCTCCGCATGTATGGGGTGAGGCCGATATCGTTCCTGGACGGGCTGAAACGTGCGCTGCACGGGAAAGAAGTCAAGTCGCACTCGTTCGGCCGCATGATCATCATGTCTGGCCTTCTGAGCGTCGGCTGGCACCTGGGCCACCGGGAGACGCACCTCAGGTGGTTGGACCTGACGGCGCAGTCTGCCGAAACCCAAGACGGCTGGAAGAAGGTCCTGCTGGGCGCCTTCGATGACTGGAAGCGTTCGTTTGACGCGGCCCAGGGCACGGCGGGCGGGCCAAGTCTCGCCGACGCCTCCCCTCAGTTCTCGGGCCTGAACGGCCCGATCCACAGCGCGGCTGTCCTGTACCACTTGGCGCACATTAGCCTGCACGTTGACATCATCGACTGCCAGGTCTACGCTGGCGCCAAGCGCTTGCTGGGCCGCAAGGTGTCTTCGAGGGACCGCGCGAACGTGGTCTCGCGCATGACGGGCTGGGCCACCCAGCCGTCGACTCGCCACGCCGTCTTGCACGCGTTCAAGCTTCTCCACCGCGTGTTGGTCAACCCCCGGCGAGGCGGGCCCGCGGCCGACCGCGACGGCCCCGCCGGCGGCGTGAACCTGCCGCCGATCGAGGTCCAGACCTACTCCTGCCGCAACGAACCCGACCCGCACCGCCCCTGGATCATGTACTATGCCGCGCTGTGCATCTGGTCCTTTGTGCGCGCCCTCGGCAGCCGTCGCGACTCGCTGCAGGAGCCGCCCGGCCGCGTGGATGGGCCCTTCCGGCCGATGAAGCCGCTGCTGGTCAACCATGGTCGCATGGCGGCCTACCTGTCCAGCGTTGCGAGCCTGTCCGAGTTGACCGAGGGCGCGGCGGCGGGGCTGGCCGAGGGGCTGCCGGACTTGCTGGACTCGTTGCGCTCGGTCTTTGCCGACGCGCACGCCGAGCTGCTGCAGGAGGCGTGCGGCCGGCTGGGGGTCTGCAAGGAGATGCTGGTTGCGCCGTCGCGATAGGGCTGGCCTGAGCCAACTGCCTACATGCTGCTATGGTCTGGGGTGCATGTTTGTCTAGTGGTGTCTGGCGAGGTCCCTGCCCTGCGGGGCTGTGTCTTTTCCAGAACGTTGCGGGGGAACGGCTCCGAATGTGCCACGACTGTCCGTTTATTTATCGGGGTAAGTTCAAGCGTTGCCTGCGATGAATATTATTGGTGCTGACCTGATTCTAGACCCGGCGAAAGCCCCATTTCCCCTTTTTCAGCACGATATTCTATTTACCACCACACCCAATCACCCAACCACCCCTGCTGCTGATCGCTCGGTAAAGGTCTGGGCTGGTGCCTGGGGATGCGACGACTTGGTAAGGCTAAGGGGCCCAGGCCTGCTTCCCTACGGGATCTCCGCAGCTTGCCGCAACAACTGTCAGAGCAATATATGGGGTGGCCGAGTCGTTTTGGCCTGGCGGCGAGGTTGGTTCCTCGACATACGGCTTCATGGATCCAGACACTCCAAGTCACATCACAACCGAGCAGTCGGACCAGTGTATTCACATAGTTCCTGAAGATCACAGAGACACACCAAGATGGATGGAAAGTTCCACGGCCGGGATTATGATCCCCACACTCTTGGTCCAGCGAGGTTAGTATCCTGTTCATTCACGCAATCGCGGAAGTCTATCCTTGATCCAAAAAGGGAAAGTCTATATTTTGTCATTCTAATGCTCAATACTCACACAAGGGATACTGCAGTCGGCAGATAGTACACACCACCCACCTAGTTCCTCCCGAGCGCCGAGCTGTAATAGCCTGCATCTCCCATCCCGCCGTAAGCATTCAGCCTCGTCGAGACGGTGCTTAGACTGCTGCTCGGGGCCCCCCTGGAGCCCCAGCTCACGTTTCTGCCCGAGCTACTGCTGCTCGTCGAGTTCCTGCTGCTCGTCGACCGGCCACCCCGCGACCGCGACACGTCGACGTCCTTATACCTCCCCAGGTCCACATTCTCCCCGCTCAAGTACCGCACCAGCAGCGCCAGCCACGCCCTGGCCAGCCGACTGCCCGGCTCGTGCAGCACCTCCTGCACGGCACACCACCACACGCGGCCGTGGTCGGCGTGCGGGATCCGGTCGCGCATCAGCTCGCTCAGCGTGGCCTTCCACTCGCCGTCGGCGGGCGTGCAGCCGACGGCGATGCGCGCGTACTGGAACCAGGCCGGCCAGAACCCGGCGCTCTCCCAGTCGATCACCCCCGTCACCTCGCCCGTCGGCGCGTGGATCATGACGTTGTTGTTGAACAGGTCGCCGTGCGTGAAGACCAGCTGCCCCGCGCACGGCGGCATCGTGCGCTGCACCAGCGCGATCGTGTCGCGGTCCGCGCGCTCGACCCGCAGCGCCGGCAGGAACTCGTGCGTCCAGATCTCGTCGTCGGTGCGCCACCGCCCCGCGAGGTGCGTGCGTGCCCGGTTGTGCTTGGGGATGAAGCAGTTGATGGGCAGCCGCCTGTGCGAGATGGACTCGAGCCGGTCGCTGCGGAACTCGGACAGTCGTTCCATGTAGGTGACGACCTGTTGTGCCGCGTGGTGGCGCAGCCTTGGCGAGAGGTCCGGCCAGGCTTTGCCGACGGTCTTGCCTGCGATGCGGCCCATCAGCAGGTGGTGCTGCGGCCCGCGGCTGCCGCTGTCCGACGCCCACTCCGCGTAGACGAAGGGGACGGGGATCGAGGCGCCGCAGTCCTGCACGAAGCAGTGTGTGGCGCGCTCCGAGTTGGTTTGCAGGGGCACCCGCTTGAGGATGTACTCTTCGCCGATGCGGTCGACTTTGCGGTCGCCGTACCGGTAGATTTCCGTGCTGTTGCTGAAGTCGAAGTGGCGGGGGGCCAGGCTGGGAAGAGAGTCAGACATTGTTGCGGTGTTTTGCGTGTGGGACGGTGTGTTCTGATGCAGTTTGGTCAAGAGTCGGATGAGGGAATACAAGAGGGACGAAGACGGGCCGAGGACGTGTTTTTTATGTCGATGCGCGCTGGACATGTCAGGGGCGGAATCTCGACTAGCATACACCTGTCCTGGCCACAGTCCCATTGTTCCGAAACCGACCCCCCCCGAAGTGGATAAACGGCAGTCCTTCAAGCCGGCCGTGTCGACAAAGGCATAGTTCGGGGCTAATCTAGTACAATAGGCATTCAGTTCAAGGCCTAACCAGCTGCACAATGCAACCCACCTTGCGGCACTGTTGTCCTGTGGATGCCGGATCCAAACTTCACCGAGCTGCCGGCTCCATCTCGGGAAACGCCATCGAGATGGCCGGCCCGCGGGGGCAATGTCCGGGGCGAGAGTGGGCCCGGCGGTATTGCCGTTGCCGTTGCCGTTGCTGTTGCCGCCGTGGCCAGGCAGGGGGTGGTGGTATGAGGCCGGGTCCATGAGAATGCGGAAAAGTCGGGCCTGGCGCAGGATGCGCTCCGTTTGGCTTGGTCGGATGGGGGCTGTGGAAAGACAAACGAAAGGACCGACAAAGAGCTCGGTGTGGGCGGTGCGTGGGGGAGCTGCCTCCCACAGGTTGCTGGCCGGCGCGGTGCGCGTCTGGCTGGGTCCATCGTGGGCGTGTGGATGGAGAAAAGGAGAAGATCTGGGAGAACTGCGAGATGTTGGTCAGAATGTTTCTGGAGAATGGGCAGCATCGGTTCTGGGAGCCGTTTGGCTCTATATCGCCCGTACGGGCCCGGCATGGATCGGCAGTGAGACATGTTGGAGTGTGTATGTTTGGCTGCTTGGTGATGGTTGGTGTTGGGACTCCTTTGTCCCACCCGCGACGGTATCAGCCAGTTCCCCTGTCTGAAATTCTTTGTTGCCCACTTTGCGCACCAGAAAGCAGCAACCACGTTTCAGTCGGATTCTCATTGTTAACGGCAGCCCGGCCACCGCAGACTGACAGCCTGCTGACTTCTTTATCTCCTTTTTGTGAAACTCACCTGCAGCAGCTTGCCAGCAAGTCAAGAGTTTTCGGCCCGTCACAAAACACCCGCATCACACCATTCTCTGCATGGGTCTTTTGGAGGCGCGTTACTTGCTGTGGTAGATGGTCGTGGGCGCATGGTCGAGGGAGGTGAGGGCGAGCGAGGACTGCCGTTGGTTGTACACACACAGGACATCTACATTATCGCCTGCCATTGTGCAAGGCCTAGTTTCTCCTCGCTCTCGACTGCTGTGTCCCCACGCAACCATCTGGGGATGCCCCGGTGCCCACAGTATCAACCAGCATCAGCCCGGTTAGCTCAGCTGGTTAGAGCGTCGTACTAATATAGCTCCTGGTCATATCGAGTCATGCGAAGGTCAACAGTTCAATCCTGTTACTGGGCAATTTCTTCTTTTTGGCCTATCGATCAGCTTGGCTGCGACACGCAGTGTTGTTGTGCTCGTGATGCGAGAGCTCCAATTCCCTACCCCTATTTCTGGGGGTTGCGTCAGCCTCCATGTTGCTTCTCTTGCGTGCTGACATAGAGGCAGGTTCGATATTTGAAACCACAACAGTCAAAGAACCAAAAGAGCCAACCCTCCCCAGAAACAAAAGGGAACATGCCCAGTAACAGGATTGAACTGTTGACCTTCGCATTACTCAAGATAACAGAGTTATATTAGTACGACGCTCTAACCAGCTGAGCTAACCGGGCGTATATCATTGGATGACAGCTGATGTCCAGCAGATCCTCATGCAGGCCGTGTCTGCTAGGACAGACTAACTGCGTGAGCTAACATTGTCTTCTAGATGGTAGAATGCCCGACAATGCTAACACAATAAACATTCTGAGTGGTGTGACCGACAATAGGCTGTCAAATGATGCTTTGAGCTGGGTCTGCCTCATTGTCGGAGGCAGCTCCATTGGGTGTTGGCGGCCCATTCGGACTTGTCCGTACAAGTAATGTCTGAAACGGGTGTGGAGTTGGTTTCTATGTTGTGTACGGGAGGGAATATAGGGGCTAGGTGCAAAATGTAGCTGGAAAGTCCCGCTGCTAGTCCTGGAATCTCTTGGCTGGGGAGAATGGGAGCGACTGCGGTTTTGTAAAACATGCTGCATATAGCGGGTAACTACCTATGTAGGTGGCCATCTGCTGCATGGAGGCATCTAGATACGGCGGGCGGCAGATTGGCGACTTCATCGGAGTATAGCCAAGTGATAATAAGGCTGGAGTTGTTTCGGTGAGTACCTACTATATTATTCTCATGCTGCTGTAGTACCTCGCTATGCAAACTTCCAAATAGCGGAAACACACGCGGGTTGCACATGACGTTGCAAATGACGTTGCACACAAGGTTGTCGGTTAGGGGGTAGGGACTTACCAGGACCGTGGTAATGGTGTCGAACCCAAAATATAGGATCGGAATCTAATTGGTCTGAACAGACGGAGGAATCAACAGTGATGATGGCTTCAATTGTGTCAATCTATATAACTGTGAAAAAGCTATATGTGGCTTAAAAGCCCATTTTCTCGGGGGAGCTAACGGATACCCAATGCCATACCAAGACCAATCTACCCCTAAACCCCTGAGTAGGTTTATCCAATATTGCTACTATAGTCCCACTTTGCTATAGTAGGTTTAATATACCCCCTTAGAGTAACTGCTAGGCAGCCGCTCTAGAGTACTCCTACAAGTAAGGTTATTCCTAAGATCCAAATTCCCTAGTAATCTAGCTCCC